TTGGTTATTTGTGATCATTTTATATTTGACATTATTTATTATGTTTATTATACATTAATAAAATCTTTTTACTAATACTTTCACATAGTTTCATAATTTATTTCTCTCAAAAATAACTAACAGTGTCTTATATTATTACATTATTTATATTATTTGTTAAACTTGTAATTTGTTAAACTTTTTTATTTATTATTATTTTAAGGCTACATCAAAAAATAACTTATATCCATTTTTTTATATATTTCAAAAATTATAGAGATCTTATATTTAAACTAATAGAAAAAGTATTTTCAGATACTAGAATGATAATTTTATGATTTTGTATTTTTATACAATGAAAAAATCTTCATACGCTATCTTACAAGGAAATTTATTTAAGAAAAATCTGATTTTAATGAAAATTTGTAGAGAAAAATTATTTTTCGATAAAATAATTCTTTTATCATTTTGTATACAATTTCACTTAAAAATATTTTTTATAACAAGATAGTAAAGCATTAAAATCTAATATAATAATCTAATGAATATTTTCTAAAATTTTGTTCTATCTTGTATTATTATGAAATTATATTTAAATAATATTGAAAAGATTGATTTCATTCTTTTGAAATGATATTCCATTTATATGATTTTTATAATATAATTTATTAATAACTCTCGTAAAATATATGAAAATGTTTATATTATTCGCATATATTCTTATAGAAACTGAACCAAGAAAACAATGAAGTAATTTGTAGTAATTTGTAGAGAGTAAAATAAAATTTAAGATTACTGAAATAACTACAAAATAACCTCTAAAGAAAATAAAGAAAACGAAGGAAAACACGAAAGGCGAGAGCTTTTTATTTTAAGGGATGTAATTGGAGTATAGGATCTCCCATTGTGTAAAAAATTAGTAAGTGAATTTTATAGCTATATTTTAACCCACCACGAAAGGGGACCCTTCTAATTAACTGCTTAACGTCCGTGTCGTTAATACACGTAGCTTATATTGTCGCTAAGAGGATTATTAAACATTTTTAAAAGGGTACTAGTATATATTTTAGCCCTCTATCTAAAGGACTAAAAATTTTATAAAGATAATAATTTATTATATTTAATATAGATATTCATATTCGAATCTATATTTTATATATATTATATTTATATTACACGCAACTATATGCAATTATATATTGTCAAAAAAATTAAATCGTTCAATGAAAATATAACATCAAACGATTGACATAATAATAATGCAATTGAAAATAATCGATGCGTTGTAACGAAGAATTTTCGCGCGGCGTCAATATTAATCTGAGTCGAAATTTCAAAAGTTCTGTCACGTGTATGTGCTGGGTCATAGTTGAACAGGAACGAAGAGATGTGCGTCCGTTATTAACCCTTCGTGCACGAGATTCGGATTAACCATGCACTTTCCAGTGAAAGTTTCTCATATTATTCTGCGTTATATCGTGGACTAGATAACAGAATGGCAGGAAGAGAGCGCGGCTTATCGAGCTCGTGGATTACAACTTTCGCGTCCGATTAATCATATTTTGAACAATCCAGGTAGCACCCTGTTCTCAAATTCGAAATAGGAAAAAGTTAGGATTCAGTTATGCTTGTAATTTATTTTTGATATATTTCTCGAAAGAAATTAAATTATTAAGAAATAAAATATTATTTGAAATTGTTTAAATTTGATTTAAACTATAAATAATTTTGGTTATTATAAATATATTGATAAATATATTGATTATTGTATGGAAGATTGAGAATCATAGTGGTAAGTCACATCAAGGAAATTATTTTGAGAAATTTATACTTGTAAATTAATATTTTACAAAAAAATAAATTCTTCTATTTCTATTGGATTTATTTTGATTTGTAACTAGTATGTTCAAATAACTTGTATCAATTAATTTAAAATAATATGATATTATAGAATAGCTCTATTTTCTATCATTCACACTATTGTAATTCTTAGATTTATAATTAATTTTTTTTTTATAATTAATATTTTAAATATTCTTATTTTTAATAATAATAAAATAAAATAAATTAGAATTGTCAAAAAAAATATTTTCTAATAAAAAATAATATTTGAAATTTTTATTTATTAGTATAGTGTAGCAATAATGTTAAAGAATATAGGAGAAAAGCGAGTTAAAAGCATTTTAAATTAAAACGTTTAATCAAATTTCATATCTCTATTCAAATTTCTCAATTTTTAATTTCTTTTAACAACTTTAATACATTTTAATAAATTTAAAATTAATTTAATCTTCAAACGAAAGCATCATGAGCCTTTAATATTTAATAATGAACATTTCTCATTCTGTTTTAAAACTTCAATAATTTTCTACATTCATTTTCATACTCTATGCATTAACGCATTCGTATACTTTGTGACAAAATTACAAGATTATGATTTTTAGTATTTCTCGAACGATTACAATATCTTTAAATACACTTTATACTTATACAAACTCTTTTTTCTTTATTAAAATAAAAGAAAATCAATCGCAGGTATACATTTTTTTTCTGCAAATTTGAATTGCTCGTGTGAAAAATTATCATGATAAAACTATAAAATAGATCCGATAAAATATATCATCGAAATTTTATTGTTTGAGAATGGAATGGTGTGCTGAATGTGAATTTGAATCCTGATAAAAATTGTCTATCACGTTAGATTTAAAAGATAAATGGATAATAAATATCAAATTTTTTTTTACATTTATTCGATCTTTTTTCAGAGAAAATATTTTTTTTCAAATGTATAATTTAATATTATTCTCCTGTAAAATTAGATTTGATTTATTATCCTTTCCAGAATTCCTTTCTACACTATTTTTTTGAAATTATTTCATTTTTAAAATACACAAATAAAGATTAAAAGATTAAAAAAATATCAATAATTGAAAAATATTATACGTAAACATTTTCATCCTATTAGAAGAAGAATAAAATACAAAATACAAGAATAAAAATACAAAATATTTCTATATCATTAAAAAAAGAATAAATAGTACTTTATAGAAACACATTAGTATGAAAACATACATTCTCTCGAAGAAGATTGAAAAATCAATCTTTTTGTCACGGATTGTGACAAATACATGCTTTCATATTTATTCTCAAGGAAAAAAGAAATCTGAGAAAAGAATTTCACGAAAAGATGTTCTTTCTTAAGATTGTCTTTAAGATGACCCTTAAGAAAGGTGCATCGAAGCTGCAGTAGATCATTAATTTAGAAATTCGTCTTGGATCTGATGACATCGCTTTCGGCTCTCTCAGTAGCGAACGTCGACTCGTCAACTTGTCGACTCTCGCGACTTCTGTTAAAGAGACACTAGCGAGGAACGCCAAATGGAACAGGCGCAGGATAAACAGAACATTTACAGAGTCCCAACACTACCAGAGCACGTTTGAGCATTTGTGTTTGTCTTTCTGAATCTATGTGCGCAGAAAAACGTAGAAATCTAAGCGAAATCATAACGATCGAAATAAAACTGCTATAATAGAAATTTAAAAAATGACCATGAGTCGAGATTATTAAAGGAAATCACGATTTTGGTCTTCGATATGAAATTTAGATAAGAAAGTGGATTTAAAATTTTAAATTATTAGTTTCTGAGATATTAATAAAAAAATTTCGATTCTATTGAAAGCTATATGTACAAACATTATTAATAATAATTAATAATAATGTATCTATCCAGATATTATTAAACAATAGCTTCATTATAATAGTCATAATGTCGAATGGCCAATGTTTACGACGTCTATTTCAACCTCATATTTATAAGATATCCCATTTATAACCTAGTAAGAATTAGATTAGTTAGTTCTTAAGAAATTAAATCTTATCAAATTCCAACTACAATATCAAATTAATTAATTTGCGGGTAAAAATATTCGCTGTATTTTGGGCACGTTTCGAATAAAAATATTTTAATGGATTTAATTAAATTAGAATTTAAAAACATTAATATAAAGAGGTTGCCAATATTTGCGATTTATTATGAGAATAATAAAAGATTTTAAATAATTTAAATAGAGAAGATCGATTATTAATCATTTGACGATTTTTATAATGAAGACGATTTAATTATGTCTTCATAAATAGAATTCAATGTATAGAACTGAAAATTTTTCATTAATATTTCTGTTAAAATTCGATCAAACTTTTTAGAATTTTATCCAAAATTACTAACTATATTATGAAGAAAAACCTCAATCTCAATCACGATTTTGGCATATAAATATACATGCAAATAAACATGTATATTTTATAATTTTTATTTTACAGTGAAATGTAAATGAAATTCAATGATACTATATAATTGAAATTTTATTGAAATCCTGAAATTGATATATAACAGATTGATCAGTAAACAAGAATGTTTCATTCGTTACAATTTACTTCTCTCTATTTATCTAAGAAATAAATCAAAATATTCAAAAAAGTACGTATATCATAAATCATTGAAAAATAATCCTATTTTTCATGCAAAAAGCAAACAGACAAAAAAAGAAACTGAACAAATATAAATTCAACGCTATTCTCATAAAGCCTCAAGTTTCACCGTTGGAAAATAGCGACAGATCCCTGTTTAAACTTTACTTATCCCTTCTCGATTAAGAAGTTTCGAAATAGCATGTAGAAATAAATCGCACAGGAGAGACAGGGAAAAAATTTTCCCCCATCTCCCTCCTCCGTAAACGTTCTTTCAATAGCTCACGATGTCTCGATACATTCCCAGAAAGCTTATCTCCCACGTTCCTCGACTAACAATTCCAACTTTCAACCATCGAATAAAAGGGAGGAAGTTGCCACGTAGGTTGCCCTCCTCCTCTCTCTCTCTCTCTCTCTCTCTCTCTCTCTCTCTCTCTCTCTCTCTCTCTCTCTCTCTTTCCTTCGTTTTCTCGTCCGTATCTTCGTTCCAGGATACGATTCAACCGTTCGTGTTGATCTCGACTCAAAGCTTCCTTTCCGATCTTTGTCGCAGATAATCACCTACGACCCGACCAGAGGCGGTGTATCCGTGGTCACGGAGAAAGGAGACATCACCAGGAGTTTCCTGCTCGTGCAGGAGGCGAAACCATCGGATTCTGGCCGATACACTTGTAATCCAAGCAACGCTCAACCAAAATCAATCACCGTTCACGTATTGAATGGTGAGTGACTTCGACTTAATTAAATAGTTTCCGCTTCGTTATTAAATGGTGGCGGTGGCCAGGGAAGGCTGTTTCATTAGCGGATCGATTTCTCGAAGTGGAAGGAAATTAATAAACGTTCCTGTTTGCTCGAAAGGAATGGAATCTTTTTTTCTTCTTCTTCTTTCTTCTTCTATATCAAGGGAATTAATAAGAAAGGAACGTGGACCAGACGAGACTCTTGAATATTAATTTTAAATAGACGAACGTCAAACCAGGAAAAGAAAGCTAAAGAGAGAAAAGGAGAAAGATCTGCTTTCGACACACGCGTTTAATTAATGGATTCCTTTTCGATGTGTCGGAATTTCCATGTAAATACGATTCAAAGTCAATGTTTATATATTTCGATGTGACGCATTGAAATGATTCTATATATAGATTCGTGTATATACATAAAAGATATTAGCTTTAGATAAAATTGAAATATATTCTCATGTTTTGTAATTCAAGTGATTTGAACGATATGTATGTTTTTATATTTTAGATAAGAAATAAGCAAGATGTCTTTTTTATATTATTTTATTTTTTAAAAATTATTTTAATCGTATCATTTCTCGCGATCAAGATAATACCAAATTAATTTCAAATTAAATTTTAAATTTTTTGATCAATTATATCAATTATTGATATATCGATTACATAAAAATCGATTACATAAAAATCGATTGCATTACAATAAAAAAATTTATTTTCTATTTTGCACTATTTAATGACTACAGTAATATTTATAGAGTTCAAATTATTTTATCAAAGTTTTAGAAAAATTTTGATAAAAATAAGATGTTATCAATTTTAAACGACAGAAGAAATCTTTTTTTTAATTTTAATTAGAAAAGTTATGAATGACTATCAAAATCAAAAAAAAATTGATATCCATAGTTTTTACGTATTATTTTTATATTTTTACGAAAAAATCTTTAATCTACGAATTTACTACATAATATTGAATTTTGATAGATATTTTTTAAAAAGAAGCAAAAAAACATAATAATTTAAAATAAATAATCGCCATTCTTCAATAATTATCAATATCTTTGTTTCAAAATATTTTCCAACCTATCTCAAAGTTTAAAATCTCGAGGCATGTTAAGATCCCGCGCATCTCTAATAGTCATGACTTGTTACCTTTGCAAACACAACCGGTACTTTCAGAAAATTTAAGTGTTGTCCTCTGTTTCAGGAGAGTATCCCGCGGCAATGCAGCATGGCGGTCAAGCTAAGCAACCAAGGCTCTACTCTCTCCTCCTCTGCCTGTGTCTGCTACTTTACTAACCGTTTCGTGAAAACGCTGCTCTTCCTTCCCCCTCGTGTGGAGAAACGGTGAACGAGAGACTTTCATCGTTCGAAATCCGGCCGTTCGGGGATACGCCTTTGACGTAGAGTGTATACGTGCAACCGGGTATGGTGGTGCAGTGACTCATAGCGAACACATCAGACCACAATGCCGGTATAAATCGATAATAATAGCGTGGACGAATAAAAAAAAAAATAGTGTATGTGTCGTTCGAGTGGTCGATACGCGGCCACGACGATCGAAGTTTCGAATGCTCGAAACGAACTAATGAAAATCACATCGTGTAACATCTCTGTGAAAATGCTACACGATTATTTAGAAACGCAATGTCGCAAACGCGTGAAAGGGACTGCAATGAGAAAGAGACGATGCGACAACACGTTTCGATATATGTAAAACAAAATGACTGATAGTAATCGCGAATGAATACGCGACACATTCGATGCGAGAATAACAGCGAATAGAAAAACGATTGAGCTCGATGCGGTTGCGGGAAATCGAGACGAAGAGAAGAACGAGAAATGAAATGGAAGAAAGAAGACGGAGAACGGAACAAGCATCGGGACAAAGGCCAAGATCAGAGTACAAAGGATCGCCTTTCCTCCGCAATTATTCACCCACGCTGACAGGATGTGTACGAAAGAAGAAAGACAGAGAGCAAAAACGAGCGAGAAAGAGAAAACTAATGAGGAAAGGATCGATAGGGTAAAAATTGTAATTTTTATCGTGTATTATCGTCGATGTGTAATATTCTCGTTGGCCAATTGGCGATTGTTAAAGATTTAATAATGGAAAAGAACGAGCGTTTCGATACGCAGCGCTCGCGAAATCAGGCCTCCATGCCGAATTCGCGGACCACACTCTTACTTTCGGAACTCTAATCCTCGTCACATCGATGTACACGATGCACTGCTTTTCGATGAAGACGATATAAGTTCCATGACATATCTCTCGAATAATAAAAAAAATTAGAAAAAAAAAAAGATGAAAGGATCTCTCTCGAGATAAGAATTCTAGTCATGTAAGAATCGATTTCTCACACACAACATTTTTTCTAACGGATAAATCTATTCCGCTTTTTCATTCGTTTTGCCAACATGATCGTTTTTCCTTCATCTATTTACATCCTCTTTCTCGCTCGGTTGCTTTCAACGCCATCTAGTCACACGAAAGAGGTACTAAATTACGAAACAGGAGCATGATTCACGTGTACATACAGAACGGAAATCAGTATACGATTGACCCCTCGAACATTACGAGATCGAAGATCGCATTCCACGAATATTTCATTACTGTTATTATATCATATAATTATTATGTTATCAATGTTATCATCCTATTACATTATATTATTTTAACTCTTTATTATATTATATTATAGTAGAATCTCCATTATCCGAATTAATTAAGAAAGATAATCATTCAAAGGGATTTTTTGGAACACAGATTTTTCGTTAACGAATTATTCTATGTTTTGAGAAAAATAATTATAAATTATTGAAATAATATAAAAAATATATAGAATATATAATTATTATAAAATTAATTATTTTAATTTGAAGCAGAATTTTTCTAATATATAAAGATATATACACTTTGTGATTAATTTTCCATTTCACTGCTTCTATTTTTTAATACTATTGCGAATTTTTCAATATTATATACTTTTATCAATTATAACATTCTCATCGCTTTTGTAATTTTTTAAATATTTCGTTTCAATAGTTATATAGGAGTATATTACGTGCCTAATGTCAATTTCAAATTAAATCTTATTTTCATTGTTCATAGAAAGGCATATATTTATATTGTTATTAATATTATTTATATTAAGATATTTTAGACAATGTATTTTATATGCGTTGAATAAAATAATATATTCATCATTCCTGTGCAATAATTTCTATCATATGTACAAATATATACGATATATATATATAATTGCTCAAGGGGTTAATCGTAATGAATAAATTTCATGGGCTGAACGCAAGCTAAACGAAACTCGACTGCGGCCGAACAATTAATTTGTCACTTATCACCACTCCGATCATAGTATTTACTTTGATTACCGATACGAGCAAAGTTCCACGATATAGCGAACTGTTGTTTCACACAAATCAATGAATGGTGTATATAGGATGGAATTAAACACGTGTAAATGAAATGTTTTTCGTTTTCTTATTACGAAACGTGGCTGCCATGCTCCCGAAATAAATAACAAGTTATTTAATAATTGTTAAGTGATAATTTATTTCATATCGATTATTCTATAATTGTGTTTTTGAAATTTTTTTCTTTTATTTTCATATATGGAGTAATTTTATTGCATACTTGATTTTTTTTTTTATTACTTTGATATTTAGATAAAATTATATAGATATAATTTTATTTTTATATTATGGTTTTGCCATATATCTTTAAATATATATCGAAATTTTACCTCGTTAATTAAATGCACATGATGGATGAATTATTTTAACCGGTATTCATGAAAGAGAATGTATAATTTTGTAAATTTATTGAATTGATTTGAATTTCCCTTTTTTTTTTTTTATTTTTCTTGTTTTAATACTGTCATTTACTGGAAGTTCTCTACGAAATGTTATAATTTATGTCGTAATAATTTCACCAGAATAAATTTGAGGTATTGTGTAGAATATCAAATATAATGTGGAATATTCATGAAACTTTAAACGAGAGTACGAATTTTATTCTCCTCGTGAATATATAAAACGCAGATCGATATCACGATTACTTTTTTCCCCTATCTTTTTCTTTTTTTGTTTTTTCATTTTTTTTATTTTTCATAATCAACCCCAACGATGGTTTCCAAATAATCTATTTTAAAATTCGATTGCAACGCGCATCTAGAAATAACGAATTACAAACTAATCGAAAATGAAAAAGCGAATTTTCCTCGTTCCTATTTTAAAAAAAGAAAAATCGTTGATTGTGTCGCAAAAGTCGCTTATCATCGCATGAAATGAAAAATAATATTTTTTAAAAATTGAAAAAGGAAAAAAAGAAAATAAAGCAATCAAGGAGATAAAAGGTGGAAAGAAAATGAAATGGAATCGATGGAAGATATAAGAGGCATTTAAAAACTACTGTGAACTATTTGTCTAATCGATTGGCAAAACGAACAGGATGCAACGCGGTCGAATTAACTTTCGTAATTTGCTCTTTTCACGAGGCTATTCATCATCGCCTGGCAAAAGTTCTACTTCGAAATAGAATTCGGTATAATAGCATCCGTCATAATTCACGCCATTCATGGGATGTAATTTCTAATAATAAAAAATTTGTTTAAATCTTCACATAGTAAAATTTATATCAAAAAATTTTATCGATTTTGTCAACTGATGAAATGTTTAACTAACCATGGATTTTTATTCAATTTTTAAATGGAATTCATTTTCGAAAACGACAATTTGGTTGAAATAAAAGTGAAAAATTTAGAATTTTATTTTAAAATTTTATGTAAAAATTAAATTTTTGTTAAAAATTGAAAACAAAATTTGTTTCAAATTAAATATCGATATCGAATTAAAACAATTTTTTGGGGTTTCTAAAATGTGTAACGCTTTAAACGATTGATCATTTTTTCGTGTAAATAAAAATAAATACGATCATAAAAATCTGTTTTAATAATTTTTAAATCCTAATAAATTCACAATCGATGACAGAAATATTCGTATTCTATATTACAAGGAAATTCGTTTTATCGAAAATTTTGATTTTAAAAATTGTGTGTATATAGAAAGTATAAATAGATTATATATGAAGCATCTGTTTGTGGAACAGAAAATTTTTTTGAGAAAATGAAATTAATTTCCAAAAGTTTTAATATTTTTTTTAATTTTGAAAACAATTTCTATTTTTTACAATAGATAGATTGAGTATTAAAATCTTTTTATAATTTAAAATTTTGCTTTATCATAAAATTATATTAAATAAATATAATAAAAACAATTTTTTTAAAAATAAAAATTCAAAAAGATTAAATTTTTGTAACTACAATATATTCTACAATATACTCATAAATTCAATCAAATTCACTGCCAACAATAATAAACAATATTTGAAATAAAATATATTTATCTGTATATAGAATATACAATATAACTATTGTTGCAATCATATTTCTATAATATCATCATTTTTACAAAGATTGTAAGATTCCTTATCCATACATATCAATAATAATATGGAATAACATTAAATATTTGAGAAATTGAAGAGATTTCTTCGGTTAAATCAATAATTTTAATTGATTTTTAAAGATATACATAGATATTAAAATTTGATTATCATCATCATCAATGATAAACAATCAAATATAAATATCGCTTATTTATTGCAACAATAAATTAAAAATTTACAATACAATACAATTATAATATTTTGATTATTAATATGGAAAATTTTTTTTTGTTTAATTTGTTTTGTTTAATTTTGTACTAGTACACTTTTACCATATGAAAATTTTTAAAATTGAGTTTTCAGTTGCATTCCTATAAAGATTGAAAACACGTTTAAATATATTTTACACATTTTAATTTTTGTATTAATATTATTATTGTTACAGAAAATAAGCAATAATGTGTAACAACAATCTCATATATAGAATCCGAGCCGATAATAAATCTCGAATACTTTTACATTTATACACTGCGGGCTTTGTATTAATATTTAGTAAGCACTTTCTTATTGCAATGGCAGAAACGAACGATTAACCGTAAATTTCATAAAAATGCAAAATAAATTGGGATAACGTTCCTTTAGTACGCTCGTGGAGATCGTTTGTAACATGAGCGTGGAATAATAAATTGGATGCAAATATCTCTTTAAACGAATACATTAAATTTAATGACGGTTTAATAGGTGAAGAAGCCTCAATAAAACGATCGATTCTTTTTACCGTCAAAATTGAGGGGAACGTTTAGTCGGTTTTCTACCAAAGTATGCGTTACGAAAACTTAAATTTTTTTGATACAATCTTTTTAATACAAATTTAAGTAAAGATTAAGAGAGATTATAATCTCGAAACAAAATTAATGATCAAATTAATATGAACACTTCGAGATTACTTATTATTTGAAGTTTGGTCAAGAATGAATTTAAATTGTATCTATATAATATCCAATATTCTTGATATTAGTATTCTTAGTATTATTAATCGTATATCTAATAAATAGATATATGATTAATAAAAAATTTAAGAAAAACGAGATATGAAAACGAAAGAGGGAGGGATCAAGAAAGCTATGAATAACAAATGAACAGGAAGCAAATGCTTTAATCCTGGCTAACAGTAACCGGAGTAATATCTACTATCGGGCAAACGTGATTAAAAAACTTTTCCCGGGCTGCAACAACCCCGATTACACGTAAAAACACTTCCTCCCTAGTCGTGTGAGTATAATCTCGTTTTCCATAGCCATGACTCGATCTCGAGAAAAATTATAATTAAACTGTTTCCAGTTTTCGATTTTCATTTATTCTTTCGTACCAAGTAATACCAATTGGTTAAAACGATTCTTTCAAAAATTGGATTCTTTCCATCCTGGAAGAAATCAAGACGATTTCCCTTTCTCGAAAGGGAAGGTAGAAGAGAAAAATGAGGCAGATGAAAAAAAATAACGTGACAAAGAGAAAGAGAGAGAAAGAGAGGAGAGAAGAGAAAAAAATAGAGAAAAGAAGAGCAAAGACGTGACGGCGAGTGCAACAACGCCGGTATTCACCCCTGCTCCGCCGCCATTTATCAAGCTAAACGCGAGGTGCGCCGCATAATGTTCACGCCGAGGTTCTCCACCCTCGGCCCTTGAGTGGAGGCGTCTGCATTGCATACTGTGTCCGTGTATTGCCACAGAAATTCGCGCTTACACGCGTGAACGTGCGAGCATGTTCTCTGAGAAATTCTCGAATTACGGACGAATTAAACGCTGACCGAATCGCTTCCTCTCTCCTTTCGCGATCGGTCATCCGATCGTCGTATAGAGAAGTTAAGTGGGGTTTAGTGTGTTTAGATGCATGCGAAATTTGTTGATTCTCATTTTTTTTATTTGACATGTAGAATGGATGAAATTTTTGGAATTTTTGCGTTTTCAAAAATTCGAGGATTTAAGGATTTAAGAAATGTAAAATTAAGTGTGGTTGATGATGCATGCAACGTGAATGTACTTTATATCTTGAATTAAATTTGGTTGGTTTTCTCTTTCTTTATCTGACTGATGTAGTATGGAAAATGAATGATTTTTTAAATTTTTATTTTGAAAAATATCGATCGTTCATCGTTGCGTTAATATAACGAGGTTAGGTTAGTGCTTCGACGCATGCTAACATGAATGTACTTTATATCTTGGTCGTATATTAAGTTTAAATTTTTCGATTTTCTTTTTCTTAATTTGATATGGAATTAGAACGGAAAATGAATTAATTTTTTTGAATTTTTATATTTGAAATTAATCTATCATTATATTATAGTATAGCATATTATAGTATAGCAAAGTTAAATAGGATTTGTTTAGATGCATGCAACGTGAATATTCTTTATATCTTAGGCTTAAATTAATCTTGAATTTATCTTAGACTTTGGTTTTCTTTTTCTTAATTTGAAGCGTAGAATAGAAAACGAATTTTTATTTTTTTGATACTGAATTATAATTGTGTTAATAAAAATGGCAAAGTTAGATTAGATTAGTGCTTTGATATAGTGTTTTTTATATCTTGATATCTTAAATATTTTTATGGTATTTTTTCAATTGCAATAATCTTTTTAAAAATTTCCTTTTTATAATTATGTCATTATTTTTTTAAATCTACGACATTATATTGATCATTTTATCATAATTCTAAGTTATTATAATTTTAAAAATTGAAGATTTTATAATTATTGACAAATCATGTAAGTTGCAATATCATTAAACGAATCGTAAGATAAAAAAATTTCTTCGATTTCTTGGAAGATTGTTAAAAATAAAAAGTGAAACATATATATAATAAAGTTGAAAATACATAAATTAAAGATGAATCTTGATAAATGCAAAAGGACTGTAAAATTAAAATTTAATATGTTTTCATACATTACACGTTAACGATACTTTAAATTGATATCGCGGTTTATTCTATCTCGAATTAATTCCATTGCTAATTAATATCCAACTACAGGATAAGATTTATGAAATTACTAAATGTTAAATGACCATAATTCACTAATACCGCTATTCCATTCCACCCGATGCAGTCGTACTTCACTTTCGGATAAACTCGTTACCTCTTGGTACTTGTTAACCGCGTTTAGAGATAATTTATGACTATGAAAATTTATGTCCCACAAAATTATATCTTTGTTACGATGGTTAAAAGGACGACGCGATAAAGTGCAACGTGCTACAATATACAAAAGCCATTATAAAATATTACGTTACGATAAGGAAGCATTATTTTCGTCTCATTGCGCTAAATATAATTTTGCATCAACTTGGCATAAATTAATAAACAATTATCATTATCACAATATTATTCAGTAATATTTTTCCAATAAAGATATCCTGAAAAATGTTGTAAAAAATAAAAAATAACTTTCATATTTTATATCAATTAGAAGAACAAAATAACTATAAGAATTCTTTCTGTTTGTAACACGGCAAAATAGAAAGAAATAAATGAATAACAGAATGACAGAGAAATAAAACGATTCGAAACATGCGAAACAGAAGAAATATATATCATTTTCTTTTTCTTTTTATATCGCGAATATCTATCATAAACGTTCATCCCGTCATTCCTCACTTCTTCGTTGTTTCAAAACTCGCTCTAATATATTTAGAATTAGATTTATTTTAGCCAAAAATACAATGAAAAATATTTGGTATTCGATTCCCTAACGAATGTAAGATAGAATGTTTACGTATAGATAGAATGTTTCAAAAATGTCGTAACATTGATTAATTGGAGACCTCTGAGATAATTTTAAGCAACATTTTCCTTTCAGAAACTTTCGTTTCAACTTTCTTGACAAGTTATTAATAAAAAAAACATAATCACATAAATTTATCGAACGTGTCGATAACGTTGAATATGTCGAGCCACTGTTTCTTGTTAATAATTTAAAAACGAAAATTTTTTCACAACGCATTTTTGAGACACCCTGTACATGTAACGCGTACAGAAAAAAAGAAACTGTGAAAAAAAAAATGAAAAATCGGGGACAAGCGTGTGACCATGAAAAGACATTCAAGACGTCCAAAGAGCGATACATTTCTGCTTTCTTCATTTAACAACGGTCAGTACGCGATATTCGCCTCGATTCACGAGCGTCGTAATAAAAATTCATAGAATTTTCTCCCGAGTTTGAATTATGAATACCAACGTTTTAATCATCCCCGCTTCCTGGATACCAAAAAAAAAAAAAAAAGAAAATAGTATCACACCACGATCACGATAAATCTGTGTATCACACGAACGCATTTAAAGTTTCGTGCTCGTGTAATCTCTAGGTTGCACGGGATGCAGCAGCAGGTGTAGATTATATTGAAAGCAGCGGGTATTGTTGTTTCCATGGTCGTGCCTGTAACACTAAAAAATAACATTTATTCCTACCAACGAATAAATACCGAGGAAAAAACCTAAATGGAAAACTGGAGAAAGGGAAAAAAGGAAAAAAAATACGAAAGGACAGCTGGATAAATAAGATAATGTGAGACCGACTTTATTGACCGTCTCTCATTAACGTGATATTAACTGGATACATTACTTACGAGGGTTGAAGATAAAAGAACGACACCATTTTTATCTCTTGTGTTAGTAGTTGATGATCTTTTGTTTTTTCTTTTTTGTCTCTTCAATATACATTTAATAATAATTATTGAATAATTATAGTTCATGAAATGGAGGAAATATAATATTTATTGATTTAACCCTCATAAAATTTTAAGCATTTGATTAAAGTAATACTTGTATAATAAATTGAAGAGATTAGATTATAATAAGATTATAATAAGATTATAAGAATTTTTTCAGATCTCTTAAAAACTAAAAAAAAAAAAAAAGAACAGAGCAGGAAATAAAAATTGCAGATATGTAGATATAAAATCACATAAATTGGTATATTGTTATTAATGATGAAAAGTTAATGTTTTATGATAAATTAAAAATTAGATTATTCTGTAATCAAATGTGTTTCGATTTTTTGTTTCTATTTTTTGCTCGAAAAAAAGAAATCAAAATTTTTAAATTGATCATAATGTAAAAACCAATTCTTCTGAGATAACTTCTCGAAAAAGATGATTAAAAAAATCAAGTTACATTATAAAATAAATATAAAAGATAAAATATTAAAATACGAATATTATTTTAATTTTTCACGCATTAGAATTCATTTCGCGTAAATTGAAACAAAAATATCGATCACTAAAAAGAACAATTTTTTTGATGATTCGAACCACGTATAAAATATTTCATTCCATATTGAAATATTTCGTTTTTTATCGTTTACTTTTCCATTTTTTTATTTATTTTCTTTCTTCTTCCTTGTATTTTTATTTTTTATTTTTTTTTAATTTTTTAGAAAATTAAAACGAAGAGTAAGCGACCCAGATTAAAAGTGAACTGAAAATCAAAAAGATTCGAAAATGTTTTACAACGTACAAAGAAAGCGTAGATAAAGATGAAGAAAAAAGAAATATATAGGAAAATGAGAAGACGTCTGGTCCAAAGAAATATATCATTCGTCTTGCTTAACGATCATATCTACATCATATTCATTTATTCGTCGAGAAATGAAGTCACCATTAAAGAAAAGTATGCATATAATATATAGTATATACTACATATTTATCTTTTGTTAAAATCTGGAAAATAATCACGAATAATTGTTGACGAATCACAGAGATCTATAAGAAAGTTACATTAACCATGATTGTCTATTATTTTATAATATTCTATTGTTTTTGAAGAAATTATTTATGTTAAGCAAATCATGATTTATATATGCCTCAGATCGTTAAATGTTTTTCAATCGTTAATTTTATATCAAGTTTCCATAAAGATTAATATACAAAATGTAACAAAGAAATGTTATAAACAATGAGACACGCTGTTACGAAATATAATTCCAATAAAAAGATCATATTCCATGATGAAATCATAAATGACAGCGTAACAGTATACCATCATCGTAAAACGGGTATTAAATTGTCACTTTCATTATAAGCGGTAACTAATAATTACAGATTTAATCTTGTTACACGTATCTGACATAAAGAACGATATGTATCAGATGATGCCACGCTTCATATCGATAATGCCTTAATTCCGATGGATGTATGCAATTTCATTGCGTATTAATTGGCAATTAATTTCAAATTTGTAATTTCGAATAATTCGAAGATCTGTTCCATAATAGAATATGTGTATAAAATCGATGAATTTTTTTTTTTATTCGACAAAAATTCCTATTACTCGTTAAATCAATTAAAATACAATTTTCAACTATGAATCTCTAAAAAATATGAATTTTAGATAGATGATTAAACAATATTAATTTTCTTTTAAATAATATGGTTATTATATTTTATATCATTGCAAATAGCTCTATTTATCGTGATTATTGATTTTTCTCTTCCAAATAAAAACTTCAATCGATAGATTAATACGAAAAATGCATTTCCTATTCCTTTACACATTTCTATTTTAAACACATTTTATTTAATGAAATGATAATTTATTTTATGAAATACATGGAAAAAAAGTCATTATGAAAAGAACCGTAAATAAAATGAGAGCAATTAAGAAAGAAAATTCGATATGAAAATTTTCTGTAAAGCATATAGCAATCTAATTTTCATATTTTTGATGCATATATTTGTTTGAAATGGATGGCTATTTATGAACTGACTTGATTATAATTTGTAGCTTCGATTTTCGTAACAAAAGTAATTAAATTGGAGCTGTCATTTGCATAGTATAATACACGATGAATTTTCTCCGAAATTTACGAAAAATATTGCGGAGAATATTCTTAAGGATTCAAAAAAAAATACTTTGATACATCATGATTATTTAACACCGTAAAATATTTTCGAATTATTTATCATTTTTAATTTACCGTTTTTCGAATGAAATACTTTTATTATTTATTAAAAATCTACGTAAAGAAATACCACAAAATATACTCCAACAACAGAAGTATTTTAAATGTCTGATCATAAACGTCTTTAACTACTCTCGATCGTTTCAACTTCAAAAATTTTATCATTACAATACTTCTTCTTTCTTACATGTAATACTACACCATCCCTATAATAATCCCTATAATCATCTCGCAAATACATGAATCAAAAAAAGTTTTATATAAATCCTCTTAACAAAAGAAAGACACCAAAGACAATCGAATCTTGTTTGAAAAGAAATAAATTATACTCAGAAACGCATTTATCATCCTTATAATGTAGATGGTGGATGTATTTTTCCTATACATACATTTTGGTTTTGCAATTCCAATAAGAATAAATAAGAGGGAGCAGTGTGCCAAATGTGTCGTTGCAAGCTGAATTAGATATTCACCGCGACACGCGACCGACCAAGAGAAATCTACATGCCGTTTTATAAGGTTGGCATATCGTGGATCGAATAGAGAAAACAATCGTGGAGATTCGTCAAACATCGTCGTATCGAGTTTACCGAGCCGAGCGTCGAGAGCGATTAGCCTTTTCATTTCGTGAATTTACAATGGCGTTTGGCGTTTTGAGACCCGTTCTCCAAATCGAATATATTCTCACGTGATGATTCAAACGTCCAATTTCCTCGTGTTTCGTGAATGATATCCTATTCTACTATATGTTTTTACTGGCTCGTTATTAACATTTTTGTACGAAAACTTGTATCCTATATTTAATAATGTGTAAATCGATGAAGCGATCGTGGCGAGAATAAACGTTCACGAAACGAGAGTCAAGAAAGCGTTTCTGACGCAGCGGTAACGCAGCGAACGACTGTACACGAAAAAGAGAAAAAAAATAATAATTCGAAACAATTTACGTTGCGCGAAAATTGAATAGTGAGAGAGATGATGTACGTAATGTATCAACGGCCGATGTAATTCTTTTCATAATTTCGCTAATCGTTGTGGGTATGCTGTGCATCGAAGTATGAACTTTTCCACTGGTTTGAAAAAACAAGTGCATCAGGGAATGAAATCAGGCTATCGAAGATAAAAACGTATACAGAGATTTTGATAAATTTATGTGAAATCCGTTATTTGGGAAAATGATATTAAAGATGAAAGGAATTTTTTTTGTATATGTTAGGTATATAATATTCTTCGTTTAATAGATGCATATTTCGTGGAAGATTTCATTCTAGAAGATAATTAAAAATTATTTTTTTAAATGTGTATAATAATGGGGAACGAGTAAATAGAAGAAATATTGGATATCAATAAAATAGAAAGATTGATATTTTTTTTTCTTAATTGTTTTCTTAATTCAGTGATATTGTACATCTGGTTTTATTATTTCTATCAATTTTTGGAAAATAGAAGAACGAGCTCTTATATTTATAACAGATTATACTGTTAAAACACGTGCTCGAATATTCAATTAATATATGATATATTATGCAAAACGTGTGTTAAATTGTATAAGATACTTACCATATTCGCAATGACATGTTACGTAAAACATGCTAAATTATGCAAAATATTTACAATCACGCAAAGTGAAGCTTCGAAATTATGTATAGAATAATAAGAAGAAACTAACAATTTTCAGAAAATAAAGAAAACCATGTCGTTAAAGTTTTTTTTTCTCAGAAAGAAAGAAAATTTAAAATGTCTATAGTGTTAACACAATGCAGAAATTATGAATGGACTGCGACCCAGTAACCTAAGTCGCTAATCTATTTTTTCCTGTAAATACTGCTACGCTTTTTTCCAGAAATTACGTTTGTCTCTTATCTGGAATTTGTGATAGATCAGCGAGACAAAGCACGAACAAGAAGATACATAAGAGACAAAGATAATTGAAAATTATAACAGTGATTTCTTTTATACAACGATGTCTTAAAAATTAGAAATATCGGAATAAAAAGAATTTTAAAAACCAAGATTTCGTGCTTTTATTCAATAATTGAAAATTATCAGTTTTAAGGTTATAGCAATTTGAATTTTTTCTAATTTTAATAACAATTTAATTCTAGTTTTAAAATAAAATATAATGATAAATATTGCTAATCTTACTGATTTAATCGTGTATCATTCATTAATCGTCAATAATTAAGAAACAAATATAAAAATACAATTATTATTTTTTTCGATTTCATATTTTGATTCGAAGAATCATCCCATAAATTTTTGAATGAAAAGCGGACACCATAGCATTACTATAATTAAAATTTATTTAAGATTGATAATCCAATAAGAATAAAATATAAATTTTATTTTTTGCATTCTGATGATTTATTTTGTAAATAAAATATCATCATCATCAGAATGGAAAATATATAGAAATGCGTCTCTTAAACGAGAAATATTGTAATTAAGAAAACTTTGTTTCGTGACAAGACAATTCGCCAATTTT